CATTTTATTAGGTCCGCGACTCGAGCGACGAGATGCGGCACCGCCATTGGTGGACGGGGCGCTGCGCGGACACGCCCCGTCCATCTCCATTGGAACACGCGTCCTCTGATTAATCAACACACTGTATAATTGAATGATTTTATCGGCTCTCGGGAACGGCCCCGTCTTCGTCCTCCTCAACAACTTCTGCCCACGGTACATACCACTACCGTCCGTCTTTATAGCCCTGCTTCACGGCTATTCCTAATCCGGTTCGCGGTCTCGGCTCTTAATGCTTTGGTAATTGCCTTCGATTTATTTCTGATCCGGCGGTTCATGGGTTGATTGGTAAAACCATAGAGCGAAGACCGTGAACGGCGGCGGTCCGTGTTGGGCGGGGCCGCGCGTTTTTCGGTGGAGACCAATCGGTTAGCGCCGTTTCGACGTTATTGTTATTACTATTTTTACGGGTCCGCGGTTATCGTCGAAAATCGAATCGCTGCACCGGATCGGATCGGGTTTTCGGTCAGGGGATGTAGTAATTATTAGCATTCAAGTCTGATGGTTGTAATGTTGGTGGGGAGTGGTTCTTTAGGCGCGCATCCGATTCCGCGGAATCATAAATCCCATTTGGCGACAGTCCAATCATGCTGTATATGCCCGGTCTTTTTTATATATCATTTTATTTGTGAACATTTAATTACTTGGAGAGAAGCCAAATTGGTGGGATTCTTTGGGGGGGCTCGACTCGTCGCTCCGTCCACCTTTGTCTTCTTCCTGCGATCACGCTGCTGCTGCTGCTTGGCTGCCTTTGATCGCTCTATGAAGGATGCCACTCCGATTATTTATAGACTCCAGCGGGAGCATCTAGATAAGCCGGGGGCGTCCGCTGCAATCGCATCTGGGAATCGCGAGTCCCATTGCGATCGATACCGATCAGCATTCAATATTGTCCGTCTTAACTAATCGATTCTATTTCCACGGTTGACATACGAATAGATGATGATCCCAAATAGGAGACGGTGCACAGACCTCAAAACCCCCCGTACCCCACCCCCGCGATGATTTATATGCACCGATTCTATATTTAAATCCGCCTTTACGATCGCAACAGGCCCATATTAATTAATTACACTGTATCATGTGCGATGCATATGTCCGCTGCTCGCAAGATACAACAGTTTTTTTTACCATTGAAATTTCATCCGCAGCCGATGAATTTACAACCGTACCGTTTCTTCGTCTTTTCAGCGAAATTCCCTACCCAAAGGAGGCAGCTTTACTAATTCATCAGCTTGTCATTAAATTCGTATACCTGCATGTACCTACACTTCCTGCCGAGGGGAAACATTACACAGCAAATAACTATACAAGTGGCTTCTAAAATACATTCATTTCGGTGCGCAACAACAACAATAACCAAACGCAACCGCCATTTACTTTACCGCAGAAAACCCCTTCGCACAACCATTCCCGCCTACAATCTCAGCACAAGACCAACTTTACTTCAATACATTTTATTTAAACTCAATTGTATTTAAACTCATAACTATGCTGACCTATTAATCTATTTATCTAAATATTAGTTCAAATTGACATACAGCGGCGGAGCAACCTGTTGTACAAGAAAAGAAACTGGTCAAAACGTTGATTTTGTCATGTCCACGTGATCCCATTTCACCCCCAATTATAACGCCACTGATCATATACATTCTTACACAATTGATTATAATTTGTACAACAAAAAAGTATTAATTGCCACTATAAATAAAAAATAAAAATATATTTTACTTGATCGTACTTTTCAAGAGTTTATAAAAGTTCTGAGATGAAGATAAATATAAACTAAGTTGAGATGGATACAAATTACTGTTGATGAAATTTAAAGAACTCTTAGTAATATCGTTGGGTCATGTAATTTATCATAATATAGGACATTATTATAATATTCTAATGTAAATTAATTTAAATAAAAAACGACATCAATTAAAACGAATATAAAGATATGTTTGTAGCAACAAGAAAATGTCTCGCATAATAAAGTTCAAAGTAAATTATTTTATGGCTTTTATCAACTCTTTAAATTGATTACTGAACTGCTTTATAAAGTTAAAATTTTCTAATTACAAATAACTAAAGTGACCATTTCCGATGGAATGCTCAATCGACGACAGTCTTGGAAAACATTTATCTTTATTATTGTTAAGCGTTTTTTCGATACGTAAGTACTTGACGGACACATTTCCAGACGGAAATCAATACATTTCGGGCCAGATAGCGAGTGTATCTGTTGTGATAGATTTTCTGCTTCGAACATTCTTCGAATTTCCTGCCTAGCATGTTGAAAAATAGATCGAGATCTCGCATTGGGAATTGATTAATCGCTTTATTCAAATGCATCGCTCTCATTTAGATATGCAGATAACATGTATATCAGACTTGCTCGTGAGTAAAACAAACACTCGATTCTATCGTAATGTAAAATCTTGATGATGATTTCTTCGTTTAATAAAGCTAATTATCAAGATTTCAATAAAATGCATTTTGAATACAGCCTTTATATTGTTATTGAAAATATTTTGATTGACGTGTGAAGGATTAAGACTTAGTCTAAAAGTTTTGTGTTTGTTACAAAAGGTCACCCATTATTTGGAACAGGTGATGCTTTACTTTTGTAGACGAACAACGAGCGGCGCTAAAAGTTACATAATAGACATGAGTCAAGGATGTACTCGACGTTGGATTGCACTCAATGTCTATTTATACGTGTCCATTACTCACAAATTTACATAAAATCAACACGCATTTTATTGCTGATTTATCGATAAATGAAATGATTGATCGTAAAGAAGTACGGCAAAAGTTGCAATCGATTAAAAGCATTCGTGATTGAAAAATAACAACTTCTTTGAAAAATGCATATCGCTTGGTGCACGCCATTTTTTTTATCAAAATGTATTTTCATTAGAACATCCAGTAGTTTTCATTTTAAAATGTTTTCACTTGAGCGATTTTCCCGCTTATTTTGTTGGTACGCAAGTGTGTTCAAGTCCATTACGTGACTTTCCGAACGCAGTAAATATCGCAAATTGTCTAATTGTCAAACAAATATAGTTTATGATTAGTAAATTATATGCAAATGCATTCGGGATGTATAAAACTGGAAGTGCATTTAATAAATAATGATTACACTGTATTACTCCGGGCTTGTCAACACGCATGTATATCTATAAATTTCAGTTCGCAGACAGGTACATAACGTGCATAAACCTAATGAATTCTAAATATAAAACTTCCCGTCTTCTGCTTTTAATGGTTATTATTAAATCGAGCATTGTTCAACGCTTCATTACTTTTTAGTTTCTTTATTCGCGAGATGAAAAGATGGTCACTTCGTGCGTGAGATTAAGGAAAATTGCGCATTTAATTGAATTGGATTAATAGAAAAAGTGGAAAGTGGGATGATGCCGCTCTGTTGAAAACAACGGCAAGAAGTAGCTAATTTTTAACATGCGGAAAATGAGCTATTAATTTAAAGAGCACGTTTTGACCATCGACTGGCTTTAATGATGATGCTCCAAACTCGCTTCATTACAGTATTAGCAACACCAACGACACCAAAATTTCATTAAATGTTTATAGCCCACGAAAAATTGTTTCAAGCAATCCAACTGGTCTTCACCAGACCTAAAACATATTATTACATATTTTTACCGCCCAATAATATTTAGAACTATTATGAGTATCATGAGTTCTAAATATACCAATACCAAAAGAGTATATGAATGTATCATATCTTTGACTAATTCCATAGCCAGAGAAAGTTTTTAACAAGTACACTTATTTAAATTCATACACATTTATCTGATAAATGATAACTCGAAAAAAAGCACATAAACCCACTTAATGTAACTACAAGTTAAAAATGATTTGAAAACGAAACAAACACATTTCGAAAGACTATTGTATTTTAGATATAATGATAATCGATGCTTTTATGAACTTGAAAAAATGCAAATATTAAATGTTTAATGATCTAATATTGATTTATTTCGACTTTCTATCAATTTGCTTATTAATTAATTCGTAGCAAACATTCTATTATAAAAATTGAAAAAATATGAAATAACTATTGCTTATTCCGTTGCAATTACTTAATAAATTTGATTAACAATTTCAATTGCCGTTTTCAACAGTTTACTTTATGTTTCATTATTATTATTCCATGATTTTTGTATATTGTTGCAATATTATTATTAATTATACTTGATGAATGATAACTAAAATTTGACTTAATTATAAATATGATTAAATAAATAAAGTACTTGTTTATTAATTATGATATTAAGTGAAGGAAAGAAACATTAGTTGTTTAGCTTGACATTTTGAAAATCTGTATATTTCTTTTTGTACCGATATTAAGAAAGAGTGTTGGATGATTTCGGGGAACGGACCGCAATTGGGGGAGGGTTGCAGATTTTGCATACCACCAGATGGTTGAAATTAATGTGCACCGTTTCTTGGAAGCAGTACCCGGGACCGGGGATTATAAACCCAGGCAATACCGAAAATAACTTAATTGTTATAAGTTACATGGAATTCGAAAATAAGAAGGAGAGAATAAATGGAATTTCTAGAGTTTTAACAGAGCGTTTCTCGTGGATTGATGATAAATTGTGTTATTAATACATTGGGTAATTAATTAAAAAGTTGACGTACGAGCAGAATGGAATTATTTGCAATGATGCCAAAACAAACATCACGAAGCGACCATTAAGTTACTGAAATACGATTTGAATGATTTGCTATTTATAATATATTGCGGACGCGATTGAGGAAAGTCTGAGTGAATTAGATGGACTTTGCCTATATTGTCTAGTGTAATGCCGGGAAGGCAAGAAAACGGTGTCCTCTTTTTGCAATGCAATGATACATTTTTTACATTGTTTACTATTTTGTTTCCAATAACTTTAATGTGCTTTTTGTTGCAAGTAGGTAAATGATTTGTAGTTAGTACTTACCACTGGACTGTCATCGCCGATGTCGCTGTCCCGTTCCTGTGGTTCCATTTCCATTGCGTAAACGGGAACGGGTTCTCTGTTTTTGACACGAATCTTGCCGACTTGTCTATTGCAGAATGCCTGAAGCACCCCGCACACAATCACACAAATTAAAAATAAGAGTTGAATTGATGAAAGATGTTTGCGACTTAGCGCAACTATGCGTAAGTTATTTGGGGAAGGACGATCACGAGATGATACACTAACGCGGATTTAAAGTCGATTGTTTCTAGATGATTCAAACACAAGTAGTTTTTTTCTTTTGATTATTTGTTATCTTAATGTCCGTCGCTGTTGCTCCAATAGATGATACTGGTTGTCTCTTCGTAGGAGGATTGTGAATTCACCGATCGAATGTGGTTGATTGATATCGAAAGGTTGGTAGTAGAATGTTAACTATGATTTTGTTTGTTGATAGTCGGTGTCGGTGCATAAATACGCGCGACGTTTAACCAACTACCGTCGACACAAGTCTCTTCTGGTTTCTGACGATGATATCGCTTCTACCGTGCAAAGCGTGGATCTCTCGCCCCCCACCAATGGACGTTCCTAACAGGAGGGGCTTACGAATCGGGGAGGCGGCAACCAGCGTCCCATGCGCCGATCTTTTCAATGTAATGATATGTTTTTATTGTGCATGTTATCCAATCACACCTAGCATCGTAACAACGTATACATATTAATAACAACGCGGCCTTCATTATTATTATTAAACATATTCCCTCTTTTCTCAGCGATGCTCTTTCTTTCTTTCGTTCCTTCCCCCATGCCACATCATCCGTTTCCTTTAAACGCTCATTGTTTCCCTCTCGCATCGCATCATAATTTTCAATTCCACATTAATTGCACAAAATGGTTGCGACGGCCACAATCAAAATGGCACATGTCTTCATTGTGGGAATATGCGATTCAATTGCTTGTACTTGCAATTGATCATTTTTGATGTCCTGTCTTGAAACTACATATGTTTGGCATATGATTACTCCCGCTGTTTCTACTCTCTTGCTTCAAAACATTTCCTTTTTGAAGCACACTTGTTTTTCGCACACCCGATAAATATAAAACACAATATCAATCACCAATATTTTTATATTGTTGAATATAAAGTCAAGTCTATTACAAATGTTCAACAACATTGCATCTATAAAGTCTTTTAAACAATTTTTAGGATTGTAAATATGAGAAGTTTTGTTTCTTAGTTCATATATTATTGATTGCACTCAATTGTTTTCAGCTTTATAATCATTGCTAAAATATTTTTTTGTTTTAAGTTATGATTGGAACAAAAACAAGCAGTGGTCAATAGACCTAATTATTAATATTTATTGACCAGAAAAACACACAAAAACAAAAATTGCATTAAAAAACGGTAAACAAAATAATATAAATTTAATAACAAAATGAAAATTTTAACCCAAAATGTATACATTCATTAAAATATATTCTAATGAATATAATCATAAAATAATATAAGGATTTTCATATTGATTTCGTAATTCAATTATCTGTTTGTTTTTATTGTGAATACATTCCTCATCACTTCATTAGCTATTATTTAGCGTAAAACTGTCGATTTTATCTGGTCGATAAAACGAAACATTAAATATAATTCTATTATTCTAAACAAAACACGTCAATTATAATTGACGTACATTTATTTTTTTTTCTATATACAGTGGAACCTCGCTTAACGAGTTTAATCCGTTCTAAAATTTCCAGATTTTTACTCGTATAGTGAAACATACTCAAAAATACACATATAATTTGTGTACACAAGTTTTAAAAATGATGTAAATGGCGCGAAATCCGGGACTTCTCATCGTCACTCGTTATGCGAAACAACTCTCATTAAGCCAGTAATTTTCTTTACAATTCACTTTGCTCGTTAAACGAGTTTCCATTGTAATATAAATTTATATATTTTCGACCGAAAATTTTTCTCAAAATATTACATTTGGCAGAAATTTAGAAAGTTTTTCATAGAAATTGGCACTATACCTTTTTTAGGTACATCAATAAAACGGCGGTCATTAAATTTCAAAAAGATTTCTAGAAATTTTATAATTCTATGAATTGAATACAATTAGCTATATAAATTTCAGAGTAAATATTTTATGGTTGTTTTCATAAAAATTCAATAGAATATTCTAAGGGTTTCCAAACTTTTTCGGTTTGCTGCGCCCTTAAAATATCAGAATATTTCCGCGGCTCCCCAAGTCAAAATATTCATCTTTCTCAAGGCGAATTTTATGTTAAAAAGATGCAAAAATTTGTTGAATTTATTTCATCAATATTTGCATTATTCAATTATAATTATGTCATTGAAATGTCTATATTATGATTGTGCATTATATTATTAAAATACATGTTATTTCCTTTATTGTTTATCTCTATAATTGAATCACAAATAATACATGTATTAATTTTTTTAATTGTAATAATATTTTATTATGTAATAAATGTAAATCTAAAATGTACTCTACTATCAACTCCGCCTGGCTGTATGCCCGATAAGATGAGGAAAATATTACATATAAAATATTCAACTTCTATAAACGATACTTTTAGCATTATCATCAGTTATCATTCTTATCGAGAACACAATACGCATAATTAGTCAATAAATATTACGAGGAATTTAGATTAAAGCTTAATATTTCTTAAATTTTAAAGTAAATGAAATGTTTTTTTTTTCAATGGAAATCTGTGTGGTACCTTATGTGATGGAAAGCATAAAACAAATCTGCTAAACATATTTCCCAAACATTTGTTTCTTTAACAACCATTTCTAAAGCTGTTTTTCAGTAATCTGGGTTATTTTCGGTATACCGAAGTACCAATTGAAATCATTCACATTCCTTTGTTCTCATCTCACCAGTCGACTGCGTAATAATAAATAACAAAAGAAATTCTATTTCGGGATATGTTATCTAACAAGTAATGTAAGTGAAATGAATTAATAGAAATAATAAACTATCGTATAATGTAACCAAATTTACAACGTAATTTTTGTTTCTTGCGTGGAGAAAGAAAAGGACGACGCAGCGGTAAGCGCACAGAACAATGTTCTAGAGTGGTCCATAACAAATCTGTTTCGTGTTTATACAAAATATAACAGCATTGGCACCATAAACGAATCACATTAGCTCAAGAAACCTGATCTCGTATTTACTGCAAGGGTAGATACATTTAGGTTTATGAATTGAAATTATAAAATATATACGTATATTTGTGTTTTAACGGCGTTTTAATGTCCTCGAACAGGGAATTCTTTGTGAGAAGAATTCAAGAGTGGTCGCCTTGTGCCCATCAGGAAATATACTTGTTTGTGGAAGCAATTCACAGTTTATTCCTCGCCTCGTACAAACCTCTTTACCATCGATACAACTAATTTAAAATAAAACTACACTTTCCGTCGATCATGGAATTAAAAAAAAAATATAGAAGAGAATTGTATTAATTGGGATGACGCAGCCGCGGCTAATCAACTTGTTTGATTAAAAATTATGAAATAATTACATTATTTCAATATTTGCTATATATCGCACAGTTTTCGGCGTTAAGAAATTTTCTTTCTCAACGTTTGCACGTATTATATCATCAAACAAATGCGATTGTAAGTTAAATATTGGCGAGTTGACTTTGGAAAAGTTCATTGTGGGCTTGTTAAGTGTTAATAATCTTATGGAGATGGCCGTCTCTTAGAGTGAAATGATTTCTTTCACGAATTATCTCCAATTGAGCGATGTAAAAATAAGTTTCGTTGCCAATTGTTTGCGCAAACAGAGTCGCGTTTATTTCCGTCAGGATCGTGGACCTTGTTCTTTTTTTTTCATTTATTTTTGACTGTCGACAGTTTTCTCAATGGACACACCAAGCTTACAATAATTTTAAAGTAACTTATTATATTTAATTATTTGATTCGATATCTATATGGAAAAGCACCCTATATTTAAATCCAGTGCTTTTGTGTGCAACATAAAGATGGACATATTATAGATTACATAATAATTATAGTAAGTAATAAAACTAAGCACAAATGCGCATTTCGACAAAAAAAATAATTATAATTTATAAGTTTATATCTCGTAGTCTCATGATTTAGTGATACAAATAATTATATTATTTGTTTTCAATCCATATGCAGTAAAAAAATAAACAAATAGTAACTAATATATTGTGTAAATAGATTTTGGTAATGTGAGTTATTTTCTAAATTGAAGAAACTCGAATAAATATGTATTCACATTACTCGATATAAAAATAGTGAAATCGTGATGTGAAAGTTTAACATCCGATTATAAATGTTGTGAAAAGCGGATGACAAACATTGTATCGAAACAAGGAACTTCACGATACTTACACCTCGACAAAGAGTGTTAATATTTCGTAAGTAAACATCTTAAACGGTAATCAATTATAGTTTAAAAAAAAAATCAATATGAAGAAATCGAAAACGCATCTGTGTTTCTTAAACGCAATTAATTGCCGGACGTTGTCTTTGCTACCACCACAAAAACGACATTTCCTCCTTGCGCTGTGGTTTCTCATGGGTAGCTTAGGTATGCGGGCGAAACCCATATGACGATGTTTGATAAATTTGAGAACTTTTTCAATTGCCACTTTAAAAGATATCTGTTATGCAATATTTTACGTCGTTTATAAAAGACAACGACAGTTTAATAGCGATAATGAGATAATCTTAAATGCTCCTCTCCGAAGATTCGTTAAAGACAAAAATAATAACAATAATATTATATCATTTTTTACGTATTCAAATTGTTCTTATAAATCTTCGTTTTGTCTAATTTAATTCACGTATTTAACCGAAATAAGTTCAAGCATATAATCATCGAAGATAAATATAAAAATACAATACAATGCAATACAATAGCAGCCTTTGCAGCAACCGTTTCTAATTACTATTTATTTGTGTCATTAATTAATACTAGTAGGCTATAGACTGAAGTCCTCTATCCTGTTATAAGAATGCTTAATTACTATGATTAGGAGCCGAAGAAATAAAGAAATATTTCATTAACTCAAAAATTGCTTCCACTTCTTAATGCTTGTATTTTTTTTTTCTTTAAACACGCTTCGTATGATACTCCATATGTTCAGTGGGAACTAATTAAATTATTCTTTGGCTTCGGTCCAACTGCAACCGTTTCATTCGCAACTAATACACGTCTAATAAAAATGAAGAGAAAAATGTAAATGAATAAAGAAATAATTATTTAAATTTTTGCGATTGTGGTCGATAGCCCAAATTAAGACATAAAAATATGTAAATAAAATAATATTTAAAATGTTTGATATACTGATTGTGATTCTAATAATATACATTAGAATTATTATAATAATAGTAGTACTTATTGCAACTTATAATATTATTGCAAATATTGATTTGTGCGTTATATTCTTTTGAATTTTGTACGTTGTAATATATGTTGATTTAGTAATTTCCATTGGAAATAAAAAGGGACGTATAATGATAACAAGTAATGCACC